CATCCTGTCCCTGTCACTCCTGAAGACAATCATCATACACACAAAGTCATAAAACATAGCTTTGACACAAACACAGTGTACAAGGCCACTGGCAGCCCTCCCATATTTACTCTTTCATATACATTCTTTTTTGTATACTGTACTTTTCAAAATAAACCTACGTTTCTATGAAAATTAAAGTTTCTGTTTTTTTGCGGCCCACATAAACTTAAACCTTGTGGCCTGTTATCCTTTGAATTTGACATGCTTGCTGTAAGAGCTCCACAGCAATAAAAATCAAAGTAATGCGTCATGTGTATCACAATGATACACAGTGATGTCCCTGAATGAGTGCATTACAGAGATCCACAGCAATAAAACTGAATAGGTGCAAAACAGTGATCTACACAATAAAACAGAATAAGTGCAACACAGAGATCCACAGCAGTTAAATTGATTGAGTGTATAACAGTAATCCACAGCAATAAAACTGAATAGGTGCAACACAGAGATCCACAGCAGTTAAATTTGATGCGTGTATCACAGTAATCCACCACAATAAAACTGAATAAGTGCAACACAGAGATCCACAACAGTGAAATTGAATGAGTGTATCACATTAATCCACAGCAATAAAACTGAAAAAGTAACAGAGATCCACAACAGTGAAACTGAATGAGTGTATTATCACAGTATTCCACAGCAATAAAATTGAATATGTAACAGAGATCTACAGCAGTGAAATTGAATGAGTGTATCACAGTAACCCACAGCAATAAAACTGAATAAGTAACAGAGATCCACAGCAGTGAAATTGAATGAGTGTATCACAGTAATCCACAGCAATAAAACTGAATAAGTAACAGAGATCCACAGCAGTGAAATTGAATGAGTGTATCACAGTAATCCACAGCAATAAAATTGAATATGTAACAGAGATCTACAGCAGTGAAATTGAATGAGTGTATCACAGTAATCCACAGCAATAAAACTGAATAAGTGCAACACAGAGACCCACAGCAGTTAAATTGAATGAGTGTATCACAGTAATCCACAGCAATAAAATTAAATATGTGCAACACAGAGATCCACAGCAGTTAAATTGAATGAGTTGATAACAGTAATCCATAGCAATAAAACTGAATAAGTGCAACACAGAGATCCACAGCAATAAAACTGGATAAGTGCAACACAGTGACCCACAGAAATTAGACCATATGAGTGTACAACAGTGATCCACAACAAGGAAACTAAATTAGTTTATCACAGTGACTCATAGCAATAAAACTCCCAGTATATAATTTAACTAGCAGAAATACATCTACACCTGGTTTATGGAATAGAAGGTGTGTAGTTCTTCATAAAAACACAAGAGGGCACTCATGGAGAATTTGTAATTTGCCTAGAAAATTTTTCGCCACAAAAGCAATCATTGCAGGGAAGGAAAACTATTTTAATTATCTTGAGAGTAAAGTATACCTATTATTGTTCGAATAATGTTCAATACTGGGTGTACAATAATGCCTCGGAGCCAGTATTTAAGGTGTAACACAAGTTGTAACACAGACACTGAATATTAATATAATGTTACACCCATATGAGAAGATGCAGGAGCTACAGGTTGGATGTCATAACCTGTCTGATCAGAGCATAGCACAGTACTTGACAATGTCCTTTATTTGCTGTAAATTTCCCAGGGTCTTCATGGAAAAACCTGCCCCTGTCATTGTTTCATGAATGAATCTGGTGGTTTTTAGGGAAAGTAGTGCCCTCTTCTCAAATCCTTAAAGGACCACTCTAGGCACCCAGCCCACTTCAGCTTAATGAAGTGGTCTGGCTGCCAGGTCCCTCTAGGGTTAACCCATTTTTTTATAAACATAGCAGTTTCAGAGAAACTGCTATGTTTATAAATGGGTTAAGCCTTCCTCCAAAGCTTCTAGTGGCAGTCTCATTGACAGCCGCTAGAGGCGATTGCGTGATTCTCACAGTGAAAATCACAGTGAGAGCACGCAAGCGTCCATAGGAAAGCTTTGTAAATGCTTTCCTATGCGACCAGCTGAATGCACGCGCAGCTCTTGCCCTGAGGGTGGGGGCACCCTCAGGGCACTATAGTGCCAGGAAAATGAGTATGTTTTCCTGGCACTATAGTGGTCCTTTAAGCTTCTCTCTCTCTATCGTTTACTCTTCGATTGGCAGGTGCCCTATTAGAGGTGCATACCTCCCAACAGTCCTGAGTTAGACACAACAGTCCTGTCTGGCATCAAGCATACGGTTTTCTGTCTGGCATCAAGCATATGAAAATATAAAGGAGGCCAGGTATCCATATATCACAGTGCAAGCGGATCATTAGACATGCTCGCACTGCACAAAGTAGATTCAAGGGATCATGCCCATGTGTACACTGGCGTACATACCGCGGTCGCAAGGGTCGCAGCTGCGACCGGGCCCGGCCCACCTGGGGGCCCGGCCGCCCTGTGACCCGGTATGGATGCCAGTTTGCCAGCCTCTTCTCATGGGGGGCCCAGGGGCTGGCCACCTCAGGGTCCCCCGAGGCTGGCCCTGGTGTCACCGGGTGGGCGGGCGGGCGGGCTGGTCGGGCGCGCAAAGGAGCACTCTCCCCTGAGCGCTCTCTTCCCAGCTCCCTCGCGCGCATCGCAGTGATGCCGGTGCCGGAATATGATGTCATTCCGGCTCCGAAATCAGTAAGCGGCGCGCGAGGGAGCTGGGCAGAGAGTGCTCCCTCGCCGCCTGCAGGACCGGCTGCTGGGCAGCCCCACTGGACCCCAGGGAATCCCCTCAGCACTCCCAAAGGTAGGGAGGCTGGGGGATTAAATTTAATTAAAAAAAAATATGTGTGTATGTCTGTTAGTGTTAGAGTGTGTGTGTTAGTTTTTGTGTGTCAGTGTGTGTGTCTGCGAGTGAATGTCAGTGAGTGTGTTAGTTTTTGTGTGTGTGTGTGTGTGTATGTGTGCATTACTGTGTGTTAGTTGTGTGTTAGTTTGTGTGTCTGTTATTGAGTGTGTGTCTGCTAGTGAGTGTCAGTGTGTGTGTTAGTTTGTGTGTCAGTGAGTGTGTTACTGTGTGTGTCTGTTACTGAGTGTGTTAGTTTGTGTATGTCTGTTAGCATTTGTGTTTCCTGATACCTTTTCGTGTACATGTAGTGCATTTGTCAGCTCTCTAGTGAAAGTTCTTCAGTATTAGGTTAACCAGGAAATGAGCAGTTTAATAAAAAAAAAAAAAAAAAGGAAAGATACTACCAACCACTAACAGGGGTCAACTATAATTTGTCGAGTATCTTTGTTCATGTTTGTTCATAAATGAAAGTACTTGCAGCCACACAAGTTCACAGCTGCTGTCTCTCAAGACGGTCCAGAGGGCTTCTATAAGTTATTCGGAGCTGTATGATGTGTACATAACACCTGTTCACATGCCAATTCCATTCAAAGCCAGAAACACCTATGCCTCACCTATGAGGTCATACATGTGGAAGGAGGTGAGCATGTAGCTGCAACACTAATCAGTAGGATATATTGTACAGCGCTGCAGAATTTGTTGGCGCTTTATAAATAACAATAATTTTTAAAAAACATGCAAATAACAGGAACTTCAAACTGACCCATAAATGGTTATCGTGCTTGGAGTGTCCCTTTAAAGGACAAATGTCAAACTAGTCATTTTAATATAATGATCATTTCATCAAGTTTTGAAAGGAAATAGATTCTGTATTAAATTACATATATGTAAAAAATTAGAAAAACTCACCCTGCCTCTGGAAGTATTACTTTACGGAGAGGGTAGTGGATGCATGGAATAGGCTTCCAGCTGAAGTGGTAGAGGTTAACACAGTAAAGGATTTTAAGCATGCGTGGGATAGGCATAAGGCTATCCTAACTATAAGATAAGGCCAGGGACTAATGAAAGTATTTAGAAAATTGGGCAGACTAGATGGGCCGAATGGTTCTTATCTGCCGTCACATTCTATGTTTCTATGTTTCTAAGTATGGGACAGGATCCATCAGCCATATACATGACCTTGGACAGTGTTTAAAAACCTCTATATAGTCTCTACAGTGACACTACCTGTTCAATTCAAACACAGCCTGACCCAATGTGTACATATATGGCTGAATCCTGTCATACTAAGGTATGGATCAATTTTTCTAAAAAGAAAAAAAATTCATTTAACAAAGAATTAATTTCCTTTTAAAACTTGAAAAAATATTTTTATTTTAAAAATTAGTGTTGAGGTGACTGTTCTCTTGTAGTATTGTGGTGGAGGAATTATTCGTAGCTGCAGTTTTACACATTATCCTCCAGCAGCAAGTATATTAAGATGCAGACAGCACCCTTTCAAAGAAGCTAGGGTCGAGAGCAGAATTAATCACGGCATAAATAAAAGATCTGATTCATTTTTAAGATGAGCCGTAAGCTACTTCATTTACTCAGCTGTGGTTTTAAACACTCACTAGGTCCCATGAAATGTAACTAAAAGGAACACAAAGCACACCATAATAACTTTATTGAAATTATGTCAATCAGCATGGTTTTATGAAGTACAGGTCATGTCAAACTAACTTGATTGCGTTCTACGAAGAAGTAAGTAGAAGTATAGATCAGGGTTTTGCAGTGGATGTGATCTATTTGGATTTTGACCTGGGGACACAGACACTAGGGGAAACTGTGAGAGACATAGGGACACTTGGTGACACTGAGACACTAGGGGGCACTTGGAGACCCGAGGACACTGAGATACTAGGGGAAACATTGAGACATGGGGACGGTGAGAGACTTGGGGACACTAAGACATTAGGACACTAAGATACATGGGGACACTGAGACACTTAGGGAACATGGGGACCCTGAGACACTAGGGACACAGTGGTCCCTAGTCTCTCAGTGTCCACATGTCTCCCAGCCAATGTCCCCATGTCTCTCAGTGTCCCTGGTGTCTCGCAGTGTCCATAGTGTCTATGCCACTGGTCTCCCAGAGTCCCCTAGTCTCCCAGTGTCCCCTAGAGTCTCAGTGTTCCCATGTCTCACAGTGTCCCAATGTCTCTAAGTTTTACCTAGTGTCCTAGTGGCATGGGGACACTGGGAGACATGGGGACACAGACTCTAAGGGACACTGAGAGACATGGGGACACTGTGCAACTTTGAGACCAAGGAGACATGAGGCACTCCCAGTATCCCTATGTCTCCTAGCCAGTGTCCCTAGTATCTCAGTGTCCTCATGTGTCCCTGGTGTCTCTCTGTTTCCATAGTATGCCAGTGTCCCTAGTGTCTCAGTGTTTCCAAGTCTCCCAAAGTCCTCTAGTCTCCCAGTGTCTCAATATCTCCCAGTGTCCCCATGTCTCCCAGTGTCTCCTAGCATAAAATCTCAGGTACTCACTGTGATAGATTTAAGCAGGTTTATTGGACACCGCAACATTTCGACCTGTACCCAGATCTTTATCGAGTCTCTAGTGTCCCCTATGTATCACAGTGTCCCCTATGTATCACAGTGTCTCAGTGCCCCATGTCTCCCAGTGTCCCTGGTGTCTCTCAGTGTCTTTTATTGGTTTTTATCTTATTTTTATTTTGATTTTATGTGGGGCAGCCATTTTTATTGTTACTTTTACTTATCTTGTTTTAAGGGTATCTAGAGGGATTTCCCTTTAAGGGTTGCTGCCTTGAGTTGTTTAGCGCTGTCTCATCCACTTATGACTATTACCACTATCTGTTTTCCCTCTTGAGATAGCTGCATCCCAACTCTTTTTGAATATGTCTATTTTTGAATTCAGGAATAAATATACGATTGATGTTAACAATGTATTTAATACAGAGGCTATTAATTCTATTCAAACAGTATCATATAATGTAAACCAACAATATATTTTTATTCAACTAGAAAAAGCACTAATCACAGAAATTAAGCTTAAATGGGAAATTGCTACTTTTAAAAAATATATAGATGAGCAGATTACCCCCCGCGGCTTAAGACTTTTAAAATTACCTACATCTGACCAAGATGACCTTGAATTTATGGAGGAATGGAATAGCAAATTGGAATTATGTACATTTGGTTTGATGGAGACACTAATAGTGAAAAAAAGCAAAAAATTGTCTATCTTAGACATTGAAACCAAAGCATATAAACAAAATTCTATTCTAATTCAAAATAAAATCGAAAAAGTTGAAATTGACACTAAACATTTGAAGATTAGAAAATATATCAGAGACAAAACAGATTACTCAATCAAACAAGTGAGAACTTATCACTTAAAAAAGAAATACACTTCAGATAGTTACTCCTCCAGAACTAATTATAATGATTACAAAAATCCTATACACTCCCACTCCCAAAATACATCATACCATCCATCTTCCAGGTACCAAAATTATGTCACACGTAAACCTCAACACCAATCCCCATCACATACCAGGCCCCAAAAAACGTCAGCTCACCAATATCACGCTCCATCGCATATACCATACCAAAGCACTACAAATCAATTACCTCTGTACAGACAGAAGAAACGCTTTCATCAGACCTACAATTCTGCACCTCTATCTTCTAAATACTATAACTCGTCTAGTTCAAATATCTCACCAAAACCTCAGAGGTCACGATACACAAATGATCACACTGAATATTCCAACTATTCAAAATCACCTATCATTTCTAATCACCCAAACAGATATCAGTTATTATCAATTGATTCAGACTTTGACAATGAAGAACATTTTTTAGAAATACGCACTCACCAACCTTCATTAGTCCAAACACCGCACCCCTCACGCTCCCAAAAAAGGATTCTAAGTTTAGAGGAAGACGAAGTGGAAGACGTGAGCAAAAGGGAAAGATTAGAAAGGTAACATCCCTAAAAGCTCCTTCTAATGGTATTTTTAATCTTTCTCAAAAAGTGTTATCGGCCGCACAAATGTCTGTTTTAAACAAAGGTTTAAAATTTGCTCCAACTTCTTCATTCAACTCGTTCAAAGCATTCCTTGATGTAAATAAATTCGTAAGTAAAGCAACCCTAAAAAGATTTTTTATTAGTAAAAATAATGAAATATCCAATCTATCCCCTCCCCCACAGACAGATGATGGACCTTTTATAAACACTCATCTCAGAGAAAAATCAAAGTTCTACCCATCGTATTGTAAATCGGCACCTTTAACACTATTTGAAAAACTTGTTCATAAAGATCTGGAAAAAATCAAATATAATAAATATGATCCTAATAATCTTACCAATGCCGAAAGAAGTGCAATTAAAGAACTTCAAAAAGATAAAGATATTGTTATTAAATCAGCAGAACAAGGGTGGTGGAGCAGTCATACAATCAAGTAAAATGTATATAGATGAAGCTCATAGACAACTCAGAGATATAAATGTCTACGAAAAATTAAAATCCGACCCTACAAGAAATATACAAACCATTTTATCTGATTTTTTTTAAAAAGGATTGGATCTTAAAATTTTAAATAAACATGAATTTAACTTTTTAAATAAAGAATTCCCTATTACCCCTGTTATTTATTTTCTTCCCAAAATTCACAAAAATGAACAGAACCCACCCGCAAGGCCAATTGTTTCAGGGATAGGGTCCCTTTTGTGCAATCTTTCCAAATACATCGATACCCTTTTACAGCCTTCTGTCAAACTCATGAAATCCTTTTTAAAAGACTCAATGTCACATTTAAAATTTTTAAATACTTTTATTTGGAAACCCAATTTTATACTAGTCACTTGTGATGTCCAATCTCTCTATACTATCATTCCTCATGATATAGGATGTCAGGCCATTAAAAATATTTTAACTTTAGGAGAAAAAATTCCTGCCACTCAAGTAGATTTTATAATAGAAGGTATAAATATTATTTTAAAAAATTATTATTTTTGGTTTTTAGATTAATTTTACTTACAAAAGAGGGGTACTGCTATGGGCACTAGGTTTGCTCCTAGCTATGCCAATCTATTTATGGTAGATTGGGAAACAGAAGCCATCTGGAGTAACCATGCATGGCGAGCAAACCTAGTGTCATATTTTAGATATATAGATGATTTGTTTTTTATCTGGGATGGTACAGAAGAAAACCTTATTGCTTTTATTAATAATTTAAATACCAATGAAAGAGGTATTATCCTCACACATGAATATAGCAAGGAATCCATTAATTTTTTAGATCTTAATATTTTTATTGAAAAAGGTCGACTACAAACAAAAACTTTTGTTTTAAAAAGTCTGTGTAAATACGGCAATTGACAAATCTAGCTGCCATTATAAGCCCTGGATAGAGAGTGCCCCTAAAAGTCAATTCCTACGTCTCCGTAGAAATTGCTCAAAAAATGAAGATTTTAATAAACAAGCGGAAATTCTAAAAAATAAATTCATAGAAAAAAATTATTCAGAACCAGATCTAATTAATACAATCAATATAGTACAACAAAAAGAACGTAAAGATCTTTTAACCTACAAAAATAAAGAAAAAGATGAAGCAATATCCCTTCCTGTGATTTTTAATTTTAATAATAAAAGCAATGACGTAAAAAGAATAATAAAAAAACACTGGCATATACTCAAACATGATGAGATACTTGACCCAATTCTACCCACTCACCCGAATATTGTTTTTAGAGGAGCTCCAAGTTTTAAATCTATTCTCACCACCAATTTTACCAAAGAATCCTCGACTAAGAACTTCTCTTTTTTTCCTCAAACAAAAGGTTTTTACAAATGCAAACAATGTATAGTATGTAGAACAACAGATTCTTCCGTTTTATCTAAGACTACCCAATTTAGGTCTAATATAACTAAAAAGGTATATAACATTTATGATTTCATCTGCTGTAATACTAAGAATGTTGTGTATCTGCTCGAATGCCCATGTGGCCTCCAATACGTGGGGATGACCACAAGTGCCAATTATCTTTTTATACACATTTCTTTTATTTTTACCCTGGCTTTTTAATATTTATTTTTATAGTTATTTTACTGAATTATTTTATTATTATTTTTAACCACTTATTGGTTTGTACCAACCAATTGGAAGATTCCAGTACCCCAAGAAATCCTTAAGTGGGGATCAATCCACTTACGCTGTCATCATAGAGCAGTACGCCTGCTCTCTATTTGTAAGTACGTTTTTTATTAAATTTATACCATCACCACTATACAGTGAGCACTATTGGCTGTCTCTTCTTCCTTCCGAGAACTGATCATCCCTGACGGAGAGATATCCTACCACATATATCCCATAAACGGGGATCATACCGCTGTGTGCGCCTTATCTCAGAGCTGGACAAAAGCTCTTGTAAATGTGAGTGTTCCATTATTATCTCTCAATACGTCACAATTTGGACTTAATATACTGCACCATTGGTTGTCGGTCTTTTCTCTCTTTCATATAAGAGGACCCACCATTATATTTGAAGAATCAACCATCCTACCAGCCTCCCAATAAGAATATCCGTAAGGACTCACAATTTGGACTCTTTTATTGGTTTTTATCTTATTTTTATTTTTATTTTATGTGGCGCAGCCTTTTTTATTGTTACTTTCTCTCAGTGTCCGTAGTGTCTGTGTCCTTAGTGTCTCAGTGTCCACTAGTCTCACAGTATCACCATGTCTCACAGTGCCCCCAAGTGTCTCAGTGTCCCCTAGTATAAAAGAAAGAAATCTCAGGCACTCACTGTGGTAGATTTAAGCAGGTTTATTGGACACCGCAACGTTTTGACCTGTACCCAGGACTTTATTAAGTCTCCAGTATCTCCTATATATCACAGTGTCCCCTATGTATCACAATGTCTCAGTGCCCCATGTCTCCCAGTGTCCCCTCATGTTTCAAAGTTACCCAGGGTCCCCATGTCTCCCAGTGTCCTCAAGTGTCTGTGTCCCCAGGTCTCCAAGTGTTCCCTAGTATCTCAGTGTCTCCATGTATCCTAGTGTCCCAATGTCTCTCAATGTCCCCTAGTGTCCTAGTGGCATGGGGACTAAGTCACTAAGGGACTGGTAGACATGGGGACACAGACATGCCCCCTTTTTGGGTATGTTTGCCCCTTTCGGCAGTTCTGGTTATGTGATTTGCATCAGTGGCCAACCCTTTTACCCCATCTATAGATTTCCT